CATCTAGGCTTTAAACTAACCGCTCTCTTCGACTCCCATAAACTCCAGCCCACTGCTCCTACCCTTCTCATCTAGGCTTTAAACTAACCGCTCTCCATTTGCTCTCAGATAAAGTCTCTTGAAAGAATGAAGTCCTCAAGGGTGGCGTGGGGGCGATCCTTTATTTTTTGCACTACCCTGCTGTTTAGTTAAAAGGTGACTTCAGGGATTCGGTTTGTCTCCAAGTGTTTATATATATATAATGTATTTTATTTCTGGTGGTGGTGGTGGGAATATATACAGCAAAACATACACCACGGCTGCAGTTTCCACATGTGTCGTTCAGTGAAAATGATTCCAATCTTTGCGTTGTGTGATCCTTCACACCCTCCTCTTGTGAGCTGTCTCTCCCTCGTTAATATAAACTCACCGATACCCGAAGGTTGCTGCTGTCAATCTGACCCCGGGTAAATTTTAAGAGAACGTAATGCTCAAAGCCGACATTGTTAAATAGTGCTTCAGGACCACCACTTGGTGTTATGAAGGCCTCTTAGGGGACAGTTTTGGCTTCATCATTCCTGTGGTTCATCCACGCTCCAGAAAATCTGGACCCCGAGTCGCAGCCTCATGGTTCAAAGAGCACTGGGGCTTCCCCCTTGTCCCAGTAGGTCCCGTACGCTGGCTTCTTTGTGAATTTGAAGTTCTGCTCCACATTTTCATTCAGCTATGTTGAGAGCCATTCTGGTTCTGGAATATTCTTCAGCTAGTCTGAGAGCTGTCCCTTTGATGACCACCTCTGGCTGCTGGCTATATTACTGGAGCAGATACTAATCCTGATCCATTTGGTTGAAGTGCATTTTAACTAAAGTGCAGAAGACCTTTGCTCCTTGATATATCGGAAAGCAAATGAACATTGGCATAATGAGAACAGCATTAGGCCATAAAAGTTAAAGCACTGTTTTATTTGTGTTGGCAATTACATTAGCCCATGTGCATGTGTTTTCCATGACAATAAAAATTCATATCATGTCCTCTTTTGGCACAGCTGGCAGGAGTGGAGGATGGCAGAAAAACGATGCAGGTTACTTAGGGGACTATACAACTGGATAAAAAGCAAGCATCAATCAATGTATTATACTGACCGCATCAGGGAGTAGGGCCCAGGGTCTTAAATTCTTTTTTTTTCAACGTCAACCTGGAAACAGACATGTTCATTACATTCCACTGTTGTTTTCTTTTCTCTGAAAGTTTGTTTCCCAATAATTGTCAGAATGCAGAAGTGAGAAAGAGGCATTTCCTGCCTTCCATAATTTGCATGGAGACAAGCAAAGCCTTCGGACCAAAGAGTCATAGGCCTTCCAAAACCCATTCAATTTCCCATGAGTAGAATCCAGTTTCGGTCTGAGGCTTTGGTCTATCTCAGATGTATTAATGTCACAATAAATCACCTCACAATCACGTGCATATTAAAGTGTGGAGCACACAGTTTGTTGTGGGGGCTGATGGACACAAGTTCCTGGTTTCTCTTTTTCTAGATGTCCCAACTTGCCCCTCCCTTCCTGAAGCGTCATCATGCTTTCTGCACCAGCCATGCAGGTGGACTTAGCTGGATATGCCTTGGCTCACATTCTTTCTTCTTATGAGCAGTGGGGGGGGGGGGGGGGGGATTCCAACCTTAAAGTTTTTAGAGTATTGTGCATTTTGTTTATCTCTGCATAACTGTGTTTCCTAATCAAAAGCCAAGGAGGCAGAAGGAAATTCACAGTAAGAGAAATAAAATGATTAGGGCCTCTGGGAGCTCTACTTTCCCTCAAATGCCTCTCCGGTCACCTGGAAGCTCCATTGCAATCTGTTCGGCACCATGGCGACATGCAAGCTTCCCCAGGCAACCAGGTGGTGGCGGTGCCCGGAGCGCATGGACTGGGAATCAAACTAGGATGTCCAGCGTGGAAGTTGAGAATCCTACCACTGAGCCACCACTGCCAGGACCTCCCACGTTCCCTCTTTCCAATGCTAGATGCCTGATACTTGTCATCACTCTAGGGTTGTTTTTTTGCCCCTTTTAGTCATCTGTTCACGTGGTCCTTCCGTTCTTTCTCATTTGACCCTACTGTAGTTCATCTAGCACAGGAGCCGGAGGACTGGCTCAGGCACCATCTGCAGCTCTTCGGGGATGTACGTGGCTCTGATGTGAAATGGACAAGTTGCAATGGCTATTCCTCAGATTACAGTGATTTCACTCGTTTGTAAAAATTGTATTCGTGGCTCTCGAAAAAATTTTTAAATGCTGTGAGGAGGGACAAGATTGCCTCTTCTCTCTCAAAAGTTTGCTGACTCCTGGGTCAAGCATAGTTTCTCAAATGTATTCCCTAAGTAGGGAATGGCAAGTTTTTACTTCCTGAATTAAGTCATGCTTGGTTAAAAAGGGAAATGATTGTGGAAAGTCGAGCTTAAAAACTGAAGGGAAAAATTTTTTCTCTACATAACCATTCTATGTATTCTTCAATTCTACTGTTAAGAGCTAGTCTTAAATATGATGGATGATTTCATTTCTCTTATCTTGTGGGATAGGCTGTCACTTATTACATTGCTCAATTGACTTTTTCACTTTTGTGTTTGTTTTAAACACCTCTTTCCCTTTTTTGTCCTATGACAATTCTAGGAAGCAACGGCTCTTTTTTTCATCATTACATGCCCAAGGTATCTTAAAAACTGAAACCATCCATTTGTTGAAGGAACAGGGGGCTGCCGGATTTACAATCTTATAATCACAGAAGTCTGGCCTAAAGATGTTTGACGGAATCCAAATTAGAGTGAAAACGGAGACTTCCCATGACTTGAGTCCTAGGAATAAGTAAAATGTGGGGGAAATCTAGGATGATAAGTGGCATTTCATCCTTAGAATGAAGCAAAAGAGACACTCGCGCCCAGAGAAGAGAAGTGTGGGCAGAAAAGGAGAGAAGACAACGGCTTTCACATAGAAGACAGAGTTACAAGAAGGATTCCAATATGGTGGATTGGGAAGCATTTCCTACACGTGACTATAGAGATGTCAGCTATGGCGTTTAGAGAATTTTTATTTTCCTTTAAATAAGTTGGTAGCATAAGCTTCAAGCAGTATAAGCTACAGGTCAGAGACTTACAGGGGATCTTGGATAGCAATGTATATGATTGTTGAATAGAAAACCAGTTTGCTCTGTTAGCTTTCATCCAAATCCCAATAAAAAGCTAAAAAAAAAAAAGTTTGGAGGAAAATTGTTTTTCCCTACTTCGCAGAAAAACATACTATGTAATTCAAGAATATATCAGGGTCTGACAAGGAAATGAGCTCCTCAAAAAGATCTATCAGAGTCTACAGGGAGCAAACATCCTAGAGATAAATGGGCACGATACAGGACTACTATACAAACGACCGAATCCAACAGCTGAAGGAAAATGAATGCAAAGCACTGACAGCAGACACACTCTCTTGGCCCTCACTGTGATCCTCGGCCCCCAGCCACTAGAAGGCTGACACACTCAGTGATCAGAGGTGAGTGGTTCGAAACTACCGGTGACTCCATGGGCAAAAGACCCAGCGACCTGCTCTAATAAACCCTGCAGCCAAGGAACCGAGTGGAGCACTCTGCTCTGTCCTGCAGAGTTGCTGCAAGGGGAAAATGACTCCGTGGCACACAGTAGCAACAACATTGGAAGGACAAGTGTACTACGTTATAAAGAGCAACACAAACAGCTAGTGACCTTGGGGGAGTGTGTGTGTGTTATAATGGTAAAACCTATTTAGAGAGTCGTCGCTATTATGTTTTTAAAATAAGATGACCAGACGTCCCACTTTTGGCGGGATAGTCCCGATTTTTAACAATCTGTCCCACTCCTGCAGCGTTTTTAAAAAGTCCCGATTTTTGGAAAGAATGCACGACAAGCTAGGGTATACCGTTTTCGGCTGCCATGTGGCTATTTCGCCAGGATCTGAGTTTTATCAATGGTGTCCTGCTTTACCAATGCTAAAATCTGGTCACCTTATTTTAAAAGTTATTTTCAAAATTTATTTAGAAGGTGAACCAGGGGAATACCAAATCAAACAACAAAAACGCCACTACCACTGACTCAATTCGAATTCAGCGTGCCTTCAGGAGACAGACCTGTGCCACGTGGTTTCTGAGACAGTGACTCTTCAGTGTCACCGTTCACCCAGGTGTGCCTGGTGGTGAGCAGCCCGGTGCTTAATCCACCGGGCCGCTAGGGCTCCCTTAGTAGGGATAAGGAGGGTATAGTCACCTGGGTTGTTGATGTCGGGTGGTGTCAAATTGATTCCGACTCAGGGTAAACCTGTCACAGGATTTTCTTTGCTGTTGATCTTCACGGGAATAGGAGCCCTGGTGGTATAATAGTTATGTGTCTGGCTGATGACAGCTAGGTCAGCGGTTTGAAACCACTAGCCACTCTGCAGGAGCAAAATGAGGCTTCCTACTCCCATAAAGAGTGACAGTCACGGGAACCCACGGGGCAGTTCTCCCTACCCTAGAGGGTTGCCAGGAGTCAAAATGGACTCCAAACTAGTGATTTTTCGTTTGTTTTTTAATCTTCATGAGAAGCAAGATCACCAGCATTTTCTCCCTCGGAGCAATTGAGTCGGTTGAGCTGCTAGCCTTTCCGGAAGCAGCTGAGCGCTTACACTGTTGCACCACCAGAGTTCCGAGACGCCTTCTGTCTTAGTGTGATTGCTACAGCACCCGTGTTTTGCAGAAGTCTTTCACTCGAGCCAAGTGAAAAAGACCACAGAAGCAACATAAGGAAAGTTCCAGTTCCCGCTGGTCTGCGTGTTCTCTGGCTGCGGCCGGCGGAGTTGGCGTTCCGCTCTATGCTGCAGTTCCTGCTTTCCCCTTTTCAGGGTGCCCCTGTGGCTGTGCTGACAGCCCACAGGGGCGTCCGTCTTCCGTGCAGGCCAGTGTAAGGGTGACAGGGGTGCAAGCACACGAAGCATCGGGGTGAAAAGGAGAGTGCTTACTTACCTCGTTCAAACTTTAAGCGCTGATAAAGCTGAAACTGATCCACGGGCACCAAGCGGGCAATCTGCAAGCAGAGACATCAGACAGAAGGGACTTCACTAGTCAGGCAGCTGTGAGTTAGCAGGCTGGTATGATTCCTTTCTCTTGCTTGGCTTACTCTGCCCTCTTTTTATCAGTGTTTTTGCAAGCTTTTCTTTTTCGCCAGTAGGTTCTGCTTCTGCAGCAATGAGTCGCAAGCCCCAAATGACCCCCATTCCTCTGCCATGGCAGGATTCGCTGCTGAAAACAGTCACAGAACTAACTGATCACCTCCCTCCTCCCAGTGCCAGGGAGGAAAGGCGAGCGATCCATCCCAGAACAAACTCTCCAAACCAAACTCACTGCCATTGAGTCGATGACTCATAGCGACCCTATAGGACAGGGTAGAACTGACCCTGTGAGTTTCTGACACTGTAACTGCTTACAGGAGTAGAAAGCCCCATCTTTCTCCCAAGGAGCAGCTGGTGGTTTTGAACTGCTGACCTTATAGATAGCAGCCCATCCCATAACCACTCCTCCCCCTCTGAAAGAAGTCACTGAACACCTTCTGGAACACAGCTCTACTCCAACACCCGTTATCATCAAACTCAACCACAACAGGCTTGCTCTGGGTCTTGTTGTCCAAGACGAGACAACACAGTGTTATTATTTTAATTTCCTGAATCATTCTGTGCACATATGAAAGATGCTACTTTCTTTCTATATTCCATTAAGAACGTTTTTTAAGGGCTATGGTTCGAGCTTTACAGCCCTTCAACACTAAGGGCAAGTACACTGTTCCTTTGGAATCATGAAAACCCCATTTGCTTTGTCATCTAGGAGGTAGTATCTTCTAAGCAAAGTAAACATCCTTTTCTTTCTCCCCTGGTAAAAGTCACTTCAGCAGGCTGCCGAATCTTGAAGACCCTACATTGATCGTTTATGTCCAATTAGAAAAACGTATGCCAAAAACATGTCGGGTGGCTACAATGCTATTTCCATTAAAGATGGAGATACAAGCTGAACATTTACCTACAATTAGTGATGTGGATCTAACTGAAATGGCACTTAAAATCAGAAAATGTTAACTGTTCATAAACTGCCATTCTACAAATATCGAGGTAGTTCCACTGAATTCAACATGAAACTGCATTAATGTTGCTGAAAAGATTTATATGTTTCTGATGTGAACAAGGGGGTCGTAATGGAGACTCAAAGCCCATCTGTAGACAACTGGACATTCCCTTACAGAAGGGTCACAAGGAAGAGACGAGCCAGTCAGGGTACAGTGTAGCACTGATGAAACATACAACTTTCCTCTAGTTCTTTAATGCTCCTCCCACACCCACTATCATGACCCCAGTTCTACTTACAAATCCGGCTAGACCAGAACATGTAGACTGGTACAGGTAAGAGCTTTGGACACAAGGAATCCAGGACAGATAAACCCCTCAGGACCAATAAGGAGAGTAATGATATACCATGAGGGTAGTGGAAAAGTGGGGAAAAGAAGGGAGAAAGGGGGAACCGATCACAATGATTGACATATAAACGAACCCCCTTCCCGTCTGCCCCAGGGGGACGAACAACAGAAACGTGGGTGAAGGGAGACAGCGGAGGGTGTAAGATGAAAATAATAATAATCTATAATTTATCAAAGGTTCACAAGAGTAGGAGGAAAGGGGAGGGAGGGCAAAAAGAAGAGCTGATACCAAGGGCTCAAGTAGAAAGAAAATATTTTGAAAATGATGATGGCAACATATGTACAAAAGTGCTTGATACAATTGATTTTTTTGGATTGTTATAAGAGCTGTAAAAGCCTCTAATAAAATGACTTATTAACAGCAACAAAATAAATAAATAAAATATTTATATGTGGAAAAAAATGAAAGGATTTGATATTATGCTTGACATTCGGAGAGGTGCCCTGGTGGCAATGTAGTGGTTACATGTAGGGCCACTAACCTCAAGGTCACCAGTTCAAAGCCACCAGCTTCTCCACAGGGCAAAGATGAGTCTCTCTACTTCTGTAAATATTTGTAGTCTCAGAAACCCACAGGGGCAGTTCAACCCTGTCCTATACGGTTACTATGATCCAGAATCAATTTGATGGCGGTAGGTCTGATTTTTTTTTTCCTTGTGGACCTTCAGCAAGTTGATGCAGGATATAATTTTAGTCTGAACAATTTCAACTCTCAAGTATTATTATTTTCCACCAGTTTCTTTCTCCAGCGAGAAGAAAAATGTTGCATTTTCATCAGTTAACTTAAATGGAACCTAGTGGTGTAGTAGGCTACTCATTGATTGAGCTGCTAACTGCAAGGTCTATGGTTCAAATCCACCAGCTGCTCCTTATGGGAAAGGTAGGGCTACCTCCTCTGGTAAAGATTTAAAGACTTGGAAATCTAAAGGGACAGTTCTCTGCTGTCCTACAGGGTCACTGCCATTGCATCAATGATTTATTGAAATCGTTGTAAAAGTCATTATACTGGAAGTCAGCGTTGGACCACTTGCTTGTATCCCACCTGGCATCTGGAGGATGTCTGCCCAGTTGGAGACAGAATTTGGAGGCAGGTGAAGGCTGGGGGCACCGAGGTATAAAGGGCTCAGTTCCTGCCTGTCACTGACTGCTGGGGGCAAACACTTACGGCCACTTAAAGGTGACTTGAGGATGTTGTCATCTAGGCCCGGAGACGTCAGTAATGTTCTGTAGCTACTTTTAAAAAAACCCAAAGCTGCTTGCGGTCCACTGTTCTCTAGGGGAACATGCTATGCTCCTTGTGCCCCCATCTAAAAGCATTTGTGGACTGAACAAGCTCTTTCAACGCGTCTGAGTTAGCCCCTAACATCTTGGGGTTGGGATCAATGCCTCGCGATTTATGTAACAGCTAAGCCGAATTCTGTTTAGAGAAGACAAAGCATGCCTGAGGTAAGAAATGTGCTTGACACTGATGAAATGCTAATGGGAGGATGACAGAAATTAATGCAGCCAAAAGTCACAACAGCAGTGACAGATGTTCAATTTTAAGTTCAAAAGATGCATTTCACTCAGAGTTCATGTTTCTGCCAGTAAGAAAAGCATGGGCCGCTGGCATGTCTTCATCTCTTATTTTCTATCTTCTACCTATTAATTTACAGCACAAAAATCTATATGGAATTAAGTCTTAACAAATCAAAACAAACAAACAAACCCCCAAAACTCAACACATGGTCGTATTGAACTTTGTGATCATAAAACCAAAGTTAATGTTCCCACCTGTCAGTCATGCTATGTAAAGATGACCTCAACACACACTATTCTCTCCCCGAGTTCCCTCAATTCACACCTGCCTCTTCACTACATACTCAGGAATTGGTGGGATTTTTCTCTTCCAGGTGAGAGGCTCCCATTCAGTTCCCAGTCACACACTGGCCCAATCTCCAACATCTCTGGGGCTGGCTAATTGGTTGACAGTAAGAAGCCACCGAACTGCTTTAAAGGAGCTTCAAGGCCTTGGGAACTGCCATTCCTGGCCAGCAGCCACCTCCAACTCTTCTCGGGTGTGCCCTGGAGTACTAAGGGGACACGTCTTATTGTTCTCTTCAGTGCCCAGCTTGGAAGGATGCCAGTAGAGAAGAATATTTTCCTACCACCCTCCATGCCAGCAAAAGTGCCTTCAAAACTTCCTTGGCTGGGTAACACCAAAACCAAATAAACAAACTCACTGCCATCGAGCCCAGGCTGACTCACAGTGACCCCCTCGGGAGGTTTCTGAGACTCTAAGTGTTGATGGGCTTAGAAAGCCCTGTCATTCTCCAGAGGAGCTGCTGGGGGGTTCCAACTGCCGACCACTTGAATTGCAGCACAGTGGGGAACCACTACACCATTGGGCTCCTTGAGCTGTGTAAAGGCAAGTCCTATTCAAACAGGCTAATGCCTATGACTCAAATTGTGCACATCCTGGGAGAATGGGTCTGTCTCTCGCCAGCAAGGGATGGTATGCTGCTTCCACAACCATTGCTCAGGAACTGCACAGAATTTGTCACCACTTGTTAAATTTTTGCCATCGAGCTCAGAAGCAGCAAAGCCCACGTGGAAGAAGCACACCAGCCTGTGTGACCACGAGGTATAGAAGGGACCAGGTGGTCTGAGGGGCCGGCTGCAATCCCAACTACATGGATACCTGCCCCTCCCCACAGAAGAATTTATTTCAGAGGACAGCACTGATTCTGCAGCTCAGGGAGAGAGACATGTCTGATCAGAGCACATGGGAGCAAATGAAGGGGGAGGAAGAGAGAGTGGAGCACATCCTGGCCCACCAAGTTCAGAGGAGCCAATTCACAAAGAAGACTATATGGCTGGCCCCACTATGAAACATGACATCCCTCACTGACCCATAGCCCTACAGGGGACAAACTGGAGACACAGTGTGGGAATTCCACCCGATCTGATCCCACCACATGGAGGAAAAACACTAAGGGCGTGCAACAGAACAGCCAGGGGAACAGAGCAATGAAGTCCCTAGGGAATACCAAAAATAGACTTTGGGGCCAGGGCTTGGCACCCCATCAGACTTAACTGAAAAACATTCCTAAAGACCAACAAACAGTCCTTGAACTAACTACAAGCTTTTCTTTTTTGTTGTTGTTGTGTTTTGGGGGTCCTTTTTGGTCATTGGCTTTTTGTTGTTGTTTTGTTTTCTTTTGTTGCTGCGTTTTGCTCTGTCTTGTTTTTGTGTGTGTTATTATCTCCGCAGGTCTGTCTAAATAAGATAGGCTAGATGAACACTCTAGAGGAGAAAACAACGGGACTGACAGTTCCGGGGGGACATGGGAGAGAGGGGGGAGGTGGGGGGAAAGGAAGTGGTATTAACAAACCCAGGGGCAAGGGAACAACAAGTGATCCAAATCGGTGGTGAGGAGGGTGTAGGAGGCCTGGTAGGGTATGATTAAGTATAATGTTAACTGAGAGGAATTACCGAAACCCAAATGAAGGGTGAGTATGATAATGGGACAATAGAAAAGTAAAAGGAAATAGCGGAAAGAGCTAGGAGGCAAGGGGCATTT